GCTTTCATGCGCTGGTGCGTGAAATTTTTAACTGTTTTTCAATGTTTGAACTATTTTTGCATAGACAAAAAAAAAGCAAGTGAAAATCATTAATAGGCAATCGTTCGATGGGCTGAATTGCACAAAACGCATGATCACACCGGCTAGTCTGGTGCGCGTTAGCAATCGTTCGATGGGCTGAATTGCACAAAACGCATGATCGCACCGGCTAGTCTGGTGTGCGTTGCTATTTATTATGTCGATGGGCTGAATTGCACAAAACGCATGATCGCACCGGCTAGCCTGGTGCGCGTTGCCATTTATTTTCTGTTGTTCCGGTGAATATGCTGTAAAATAGCTTGATAATTGAGATTTGCCCTTTGTTGGTATTTTACCAACAATAATATCCGGTTTCTCGATGCTTTCAATCTAATGAACTTTTTTTTTGCAGTAATCTCTGTATTCATCAGATGTACATAAAAGATATTTACTGATGTACATAAAAAATAACTGCTTAGCTGAAAAAAAGGATACAACTTCTACATCATTCGCCCCAGTATCCCATGTTAGTGATGTTACTGGAATGCTCCCACAACGCAATAAAATTATTGTATACCAAAACGTTTAAATAATTAGTGTGGAAATCGCATTTTTGTAAAAATTTTGCTAAAATCGATTCTTTAAGACGTAAGTGCGTCCCGACATGCTTCCGATTATTTCTGCTTTTTAAATTTTATATTAATAGGCACTTCTTGGCACACTTGCTTGAAGTGGTGATTATCACAGAGGTGCTTAACAGGATTGCTAAAATGCAAGCTGAGAAATTACACAGTGGGACGAAGAGATACAAGCATTTTTCTTAGAACAAGCAACAAAAACGGATAGCAAAACAGATTAACAATCACTTTGTTAATTAGCATTTTGAATAACTTCTAATAATCTATGAAGCTGTACAACTGGAGTTCGCAACATGACAAGATAACATACAAGATTTTTTCATAACTTTGACTTAGAAATCACGATATTCCGGAAAAAAATCATGATCTTAAAGATGCTTGACCAAACCTCAAAAAAGTTGCAGATTTTTTTTTTCTGCATTTTATAAACAGAGTTTACTAATAACGCGTGTGCTCGAACAAAACTTCTCATGAAAATCAAGCCAAACTTTGTAAAAAACCAATGGATTTTTACAGAAACTGGGCCAAAATTGCCCGGATGAC